GCCCCTGTCCGGCCACGCTCCGCCCCTATCCAAGGCCACGCCCCTACCCGGCCACGCCCCGTGCCCCACCCCTACCCAGGCCTCCTCTTGCGCTTTCCTGGTCCTCCGTTTTTTGTAGTTGTTTTTTTTTAATGTTCTTATTGATTTCGGAGAGAGAGAGATGGAATCATGGATGATGAGAGTCATTGATCGGCTGCCCCGCGCACGCCCCCTGCTGGGGGGAGCCCGCTGCCCCCGCCTGTGCCCCGACCTCCTGGATCCTAGGCGATGCTCAGCCGCTGAGCCCCACAGCGCTTGTGGGCAGGAACCCAGGAGGTGACCTGCTGCACCCTATGGTCATTCTGTCTTTAATTTTTTTGGAGGAGCTGCCTTACAGGTTTCAATAGTGGCTACGGCCACGTACGTTTTCACCACCGGCGCACAAAGGTTGCAATTTTTCCGCATCCCGGCCAACGCTTGTTACTTTGTTTTTGCTGCTGTTGTTACTTTCTTCTGCTTTTATGGTCATAGCTATATGGGTATGAGGTGGTGCAAGTCTTTTTAAGATATGTGATTTGTAGACGTTCTCTCCCGGTCTGTGGCTTGACTTTTTGTTCACGGAACAGTGTTTGAGTGGAAGTTACTGATTTTCATAAAGTCCTTTATGTCACATCCAACAAACTTTGGCGTAACCGATACCACAAAGATTTTTTTCTCCTGTTTTCCCCTCCACGTTTTATAATTTTAGGTTCTATGTTTAGGTCTATGATCCATGTTTTAAAGTTTGCAATTCATTTTGACTTAATTTTTGTAAATGGCGTGAGCTGTGGATCAAAGTTCATTTAGTTCCATGTGAGTATCCAAATGTCCCAGCACCATGCGTTGGGGGAAAAAAGTATCCTTTCTTCAACTGAACTGCCTTTGCAAACCTTTGGCAAAAAAATCAATTAATCATGTGTGCGTGGGATCTAATTCCGGACTCCCTGCTGCTTTTCCTTAATCTCCTTGTCTATCTTTTTGGCCTCACAACACTGTATTTATTGGTAGCTCTACCATTGGCCCTGAAGCTCCATAATTATGTAGCTCTATAATTATGTAGCTCTCTAATAAGTCAAAGTTAGGTCCTGTAAGTCCATCAACTCTGCTCCTCTTTTTCAAAGTTGTTTTGGACTTTGCATTCTCTATGAACTTTAGAATCAGCTTGTTGATTTCTAGGGGGAAAGAGTTGCTGGGATTTGGGTTGGGACTGGACTGAATCTATAGATCAGTTTGAAAATAATTGATAGCTTTCCATTACTGAATCATCTGATCCATGAACATAATATAGCTCCATTTCTTTAGGTCTTTTTTGTTGTTGTTAATCCTCACTTGAGGATATTTTTTCTATTGCTTTTTAGAGAGAGTGGAAGGAAGGGAGGGAGGGGGAGAGAGAGGGAGAGAGAAACATCAATGTGAGATAGACACATCCACTGGTTGCCCCCCTCAACCCGACCAGGAGGCGGGAATCAAACCCTCAACCCTTCGGTGCACAGCCTGATACTTTCACCTCACTGGGCCACATCGGTCAGGGATATTTAGGTCTTTAATTTCTCTTAGAAACTTTTTTGTAGTTTTTTAAAAAATATATCTTTATTCATTTCAGAGAGAGGAAGGGAGAGGAAGAGAGAGAGAGTTGAAACATCAATGATGAGAGTGTCATTGATCCGCTGCCTCCTGCACACCCCCGACTGGGGATCGGGCCCGCAAACAGGGCATGGGCCCTGACTGGGAATCAAAGGCGATCTCCTGGATTGTAGGTCGATGCTCAAATGCTGAGCCACACCCGGCCGGGCTCTATGTTTAACTTTTAAATGAGGAATAGCCAAACTGCTTTCCAAGGCCATTGCACCATTTCCTATTCCCACGGCAAAGTAGAAGTGTTCTCATCTCTCCACGGCCTTGACGAAGCTTGTTACTGTCTGTCTCTTTGATCGTATCCATCCTAGAGATTGAAGTTGGACCTCATTCTGGTTGCGATTTGCATTTCCCTGAGGACTAATGATGCCGAGGGCACATTTTTTGTTGTTAGTGCTCACCCAAGGATATTTTTTCCATTGATTTCTCAGAGAGAGTGAAAGGGAGGGGCCAGGGGAGAGAGAAACACCAGTGAGAGAGACACATCTACTGGTTGCCTCACCTCCCGCATGCACCCCAACCTGGGCCGGGGGTTTGAGCTTGCAACCAAGGTAACAGAACCCAGGACCCTTCAGTCCGCGGGCCGATGCTCTAACCACTGAGCTAAACTGGCTAGGGCAACGTTGAGTGTCTTTTCGTGTGCATCTTGGCCATGTGTGTATCATTTTTGGAGAAATGTCTAGTCAACTCTTTTTCCTGTTTTACATTGGGTTATTTTCCTTTTAATTATTTAGTTATTTATGTATCCTGGATGACTGTTCTTTATCAGATATATGATTTACAAATATCTTCTCCCATTTTTTTAAATGTTTTTATTGATTTCAGAGAGAGGAAGAGACAGAAACATAGAAACATCGATGATGACAATCATTGCTCACCTGCCTTCTGCACACCCCCCCACCCCCCACTGGTGACTGAGCCCACAGCATGTGCCCTGACCAGGAATCACACAGTCTACCTCTTGGTGCATGGGATGAGCTCAACCACTGAGCCACACCAGCTGGGCTCTTCTTCCATTCAGTGGGTTGTCTTTTACAATTTCTTTCTTTTTTAAAATCCTCACCTAAGGATATTTTGAGAGAGAGAGAAACATGGATGTGAGAGAGACACATCCATTGGTTGCCTCCTGCACACTACTCCCCAACCAGGGCCAGGGATGGAGTCTGCAACTGAGGTAGTGCCCTTGGCTGGAATTGAACCCAGGAACCTTCAGTCCAAGGGTGGACGCTTTAACCACTGAGCCAAACCATCAGGCCTCTATGCAACTTCTTGATGGTGCCCTTTGAAACGTAAGTTTTTAACTTTGATGAAATCCAGTTTGTCTATATTTTTCTCTTGTGCTTGGTGTCATATTAAAGAAACCACTGCCTCACCCAAAGTCACAAAAACTTCCTCCTATGTGTTGTTCTAAGAGTTATATAGTTTTAGTTTACATATGCACGCATATTTTTAAAGGACTAAGGGGATATGCACCAAATTGTTTAGAGTGGTCATCTCTGGGAGAGGGCATGAAATTGGGTTAGGTTAGGGTTTGATGGGGATTTTCATTTTTTTCTGCTATATATTTCTGTATTGTTTGGATTTTATTTTATTTTTTATATATATTTTTTATGTCTTTATTGATTTCATGGAGAGGGAGAGAGAATCAGAGTCATTGATCGGCTGCCTCTTGCACGCCCCCTGCTGGGGATCCAGCAGCAACCTGGGCCTGGGCCCTGACCGGGAATCCAGCAGCTGTCTCCTGGATCCTAGGTGGACGCTCAGCTGCTGAGCCACACTGACCGCGCTTGTTTGGATTTTTTTTTAATTTTTTTACCAGCATGGCTAACTCTGGTAATTTAAAATCAACAGTCTTTAAAAAAAAAAATCAGTAAACTTAAAAAAAAAAAATCAATAGACTTTTTAAACAATTCAAGATTGTACATAGTTAGTTACATATGGTCAAAAACTAAAATATACTATGCAAAACGAAAAAAAAAAATCCACAAAGCTAGTTATCAGCATTGGGGTGAGGGCTGTGTCAAGATAAGATTCCCTGAAAAAGTAGCATCTGAACTGAGACCAGGAGGTGGGNGAAAAAGTAGCATCTGAACTGAGACCAGGAGTGTGCTGGGCATCGATGGGAGCAAGAAAAGTGTTTCGTTGGGAAGTTAGTGTTTGAGCCTATGGGAGAGAAGGGGTTCACTAAAATAATAATAATAACAATAATGCTTTAAACTCTCAGAATTGGAGAATGGAAGGGGGACAAGTAAGGAGAGGGGGCCAAGAGGCTGGACGGAGACGGGGCCAGCTGCCCTTGCGGTCCACGGCAAGGGTGGCAAGCAGGGG